TGAGATGTTGAGTTTATCTGAAATATGAGATGTTGAGATGAACACATATGACATAGGAGATATATATGAGAATTTTTCAAATGAGTATTGTAAATCATTTATTCATTGTGTGAGAAGGATATGTTGAGATTCTTGTAGATGAATACATATGAGATGTTTAGATGAACACATATGAGATGTTTAGTGTATACCGATATTTGAGATGAACTCATATATGTTTATTGTTTGAACTTTGTAAGGATGGTTTGCCTTCTGGACGATGCCTACGACACACGACACCGGGCCTACATGATGCGCCAGAAGGGGATGGTAATAATGAGTAATCTAAATATTTTGCAAATTTGCCTTTAGTTGAAATTGACATGCCCTAAGATTTGTCATTACTTGTTTTTTGCAGAAGCTTGAACCTCTGAAGATTCGGTATCACGGGGTCTCTGGTCCTGCCATGCCCTACGATGAGTGGTACACACCCTACATCCAGCAGGCAGGACTCCTCCCATGGATTCAGTTGGTCAGCCGGTCCACGCTGAACCTCAACGCTCCACTGGTGTCCTCTCTTGCTGATTGGTGGAGGACGAAGACGCACAGTTTCCATCTTCGGATTGGGGAGATGACCATGACGCTCCAGGATGTCTCCTTGATCACCGGTATTCCTATCGACGAAAGGCCTCTCTATATGAGCACCGATTCTGATGGGTGGCGCCAGCAGATGACTGCTCTTATCGGTATGGCTCCTACTGAGGCTGAGGCTGATGTAGAGGAGGGAGAAGAGAAGAAGAAGAAGGAAAGGAAAGTAGTCGGAGCTGCTTTCATGTGGATTCAAGCAAACTTTGCGCATTGCCCTGCGGATGCCACTAATGATGTGATCCAGACACATGCTCATGTCTATATGTGGTGCATTGTCTCGAGGACTTTGTTTCCTAACGCCACAGGCAAGCACGCTCCATAGCAGATGGAGCTGGGGTTCAGCGACTCTTGCCTACTTGTACCGACAGGTAGTTGGTTTGTTTTGTTATCAATTCATTTCTTCATTAGCAATGCAACCTTGTTGTCAAGTTAACATTGTTTTCTTTGATATGCAGCTGGACGATGCATGTTGCAGGATCACAGATAGTGCATGCATTGGTGGTAATCCGCTTCTATTTTTTGTATGGAGCTGGGAGTGTCTGCCTGTTGGATGCCCGAAGAGCGTCAAGTTTAATCCTTGGGATGAAGATGACGAATTACGGCGCCCCACTTGGGCTTGCAAGTGGGATGGGCTTACAAGTGGGATGTGGTATCCGAGATGACGAACGATGTCAATCTCATGTACCAATATAGTGCCCTTGTATTGTCCGGTCAAGAACGTGCCGTCAATGGCGATGACGGGCTGACAATGCTCAAAAACCCTCACACATTTCTCAAAAGCCCAAAATGCACGACAAATACTCGGACGGTCCTCCCATTGTGAATAAATGTTTGGTGCCCATGAGGCTCGACCACGTGAACCATGCCTGGGTTTGTGGTGGCCATAGCTAACAACAACCTAGGAAGTCGGTTGTATGCTTCCTC